TGATGGAAAAAGTCCATTAAAGTGATCAATCTGGACCCTCCTCTGTGGACTTCAAGGACCTGGACCTCTGGAACATTCACAGTCTGAAGGTAGAACTCTGGTCAGTAGATACAGTATCATGTTTTATTTTAGTTATAAAACATGCTTTACATTTTCTGCAAAGAATGAACTTGCAGAAGCCGCCTTCCTGTCTGTGGCTGATCAGCCTCATCCACCTTAAAGAGGCTCCAGTCGGTCTCTCGTGCTTCACTGCATTTTATTTCAAACTCACTGCTGTATTCTCTATGATCTGGTTGGCTGGACATCATGAAGCATTCGTACGCAACAACACTGGTATATGTTCACCTATAAAGCTCTGCTGACTCCCAGAACACCTCGAAGAACCCAAACCCTAACACCTCAGCGCTCGTCTCACCATCAGCTCCAGGAGTTACCATCTGGTGCCTCCTTCAATGGTTTTAACAGACTTTGACCAAACAGTGTTCTCCTGTCATGGTCATGCAATAATCTCCAAAACACTCTTAAACTAGAAGCGCTTACATCCATTAATGAGTTTAAGAGCATCACGACCAGCTGTCAGTCTGTGTTATCCTCAGATTGTTTTACTGTTCGCTATTCATTGTCGATCATGATCTGTTTCATGTTTGCTGCTACCTCGGTCAGGTCTCCCTTAGAAAACAGATTTCTCATCTCAATGGGACTTCCTGGTTAATGAAGGCAAATAAAAGTTACTGCAGATAAAGAATCAGCTCGTTCAGTCAGAGGAAACTGGATTTTCCATTGAAGACATATTCTCCCACAGAAGTGCTGCCTCATGATCCACACTTTATATTTCATGTATGACCTCGATGTGGGATCTACACAACACATATGGTCACGCTCGGTCAGCGCTGAGAGCTGCACCAACATTTGCTTTGTTAAAAAGACGTGAATAAGAGTAACAAACACCGTCTTTGATATACATATATATCCTTTATATATTACTGTAGATATGATATGCAGTTCTGTGAGCTCGTCTACTGCAAAGACGCTCAGTTCCAGTTGATCAGCTGATTGAGCAGAGCTGTGGGAGGTTCTGTCTAGTTCTGATCCAGTCTTACCAGCACAATTCATCAGTACCTGGAGAATCTGGGTCACTGGGCTGCTCCCAGCCTGACCAGTAGCTGCTCCGCTCTGAACCGGCTTGGTCTGAACCACCGACATCACCTTGCCCAGGTTGCCAAGGCTACCAACCTGAAACAAAGAGAGGGATTGTCTTTATATACCGCCTGTGTCCACGTGATTGGCTGAGTGTTGGCCTCGTGACTGTAGGTACAGGAAGTACAGGTGTATACAAAAGGTCACATGTACTTGTAAACACCAGGTATGTCATAGCAGTCAGAGTGGACAGAAGTTCAACTAAACTTGTCGTCTTTCTGACTCAAACTTGGTTCTTCATCAGTCCACAGGTTCTGGATGGTTCCAGTCAGGACTTTGGGGAGACCAGTCTAGAACCTTCATTCCAGCCTGATGGAACCATTTCTTCACCACTTTGATGTGTGTTTGGGCTCATTGTCTGGTTGGAACATCCAACTGTGTCCAAGATCAACCTTCTGCT